ATCGACCCTGCCTTGAGTGTGACAGGGGGCGGTGCCCCAATCCCCCAATCGGCCCTACCCTGAGCGTGACTGAGGGTGGCATCGCAACCTCCCGATCCGCCCTGCTCTGTGCATGACGGGGCAACGCCCCAACTCCCCAATCGGCCCTGCTCTGAGCCCCACCAGGGGCTGCACCTAGGGATTGGGCCTGCCCTCTGCCACCCGGGAGCGGGCCTAAGCCAGCAGGTCGTTATCTCCCGAGGGGTCCCAGACTGCGAGAGGGCACAGGCCGGGCTGGGGGACCCCCCGCCCCTCCCGAGTGCACAAATTTTTGTGCACCATGCCTCTAGTTTATTTATAATGCTTTTCTCGGATCAGTCTTACTGGGACTTTGTCTCCACTATAGCTGGGAGAAGAAGCAGGGGATCTGGGGAGTGAAAATTACCTATTCTACCCTAGGAACACCTATATTTTTTTCAAATATGTCTCTGTGAGAAAAGTTGAGTAATATTGGCACAATCGAGTTTCACATCAGTTATAGGCATGTTTGATATTTGGCTAAATCCCCATATATGATCTCACCTATGTTTCAGCCAACATCCATTCTGATTGATTGCATCATCTGTTCTGAATGGTCATATTGTCATTCTGATTGGCTGCTTCATTCACTGCAATTAGTTGCTACCTGTACTGCCCTGCTTGTTAAATATATTTAGCTATTACATATCACCCCTGAATACAGGAGCAGATATAAACAGTTTCCTCCTCAATTACTGCTTACTGTGCAACATGTAGATTTTGTCTTGTATGTTTTCCAAACTGCAATCAGAAGCTTTGTTTATTTTGCTTGAAGAGAAAACTTGTAGTAATATTTATTATCTTAACATGTTCCCAAAATAATCAATGTACCTAAAGCAACTAGGATCCTTAGAATTGGAAATACATTAAAATATTCTTGATTGATGCTTATTTCATATTACAATATACAGAAGAGCTCTTCAGGGTAAAGTTATTGATTTTCTGGCTCTTTAAATTTTTTTGAGTAATTGAATGTTTTTTCTACACTAAACTGTGTTAAATGTGTTATCTCATTTTGTTTTGAGCTACCAAGATATGACTCAAGCCCAGAGATTCTGGTTCTGTCACTCTTAACAGCTCTGTATTGAGAAGCCATGCCAAATTTGGCAGCCGTTGAAGCATACATCCACACTTATTGATTGAAATCTTAGTTGCACCATGAAATCTTTGTGTCACCTTGTACAAGTTACTTCCATAGATAAATATAGTTTTCTCATTTGACAAACAGAAATTGTAACATTAGCTACCTCATAAGGTTGTTGTAAGGATTAAATAAGATATTATCAAGAACGTAGAGCAATACTGACATACAGTAAGCACTCAATAATTCCTGGCTATAATCATTATTCCCATTGTTGGTTTGTTTGGATCTTGATTTACTAGTTCTAGTGACCACTATCAGTGCTCCATTCAGATCCTCTGGGTCCCTTGGATCTATGCTCTCATCCCCCATTTTCTACCTGCTTTACTTCTAAGGGTTGGTGTTATGGGTTCACTCAGAGAGATAGACCACCGACTCAGAATTTAAATTTAAGCCTCTTTATTAAGCTGGCCAGCTGACTACAGTTACAGCACCCTGCCGAAGCAGAGACTGAACTGCAGTGCAAACTACAGAAGTTACATTTTATTAAATTCTGTGGAGGCCCAGAGGCAAATGTGTCTTTCAAATTCTGGGCCCCCAATATGGAGGAAACTCTCTTTATTTATACTTTTTCCAGTCCTTTGTCTCCCAAATTTGGAATGAGACTTCCTGGCCTTCTGAAAAAGAAGGCTGGGAAGGGGCCATGAGACCATATCTCAAGGCCTGGCCTGATGTGAGTACTTTCCTATCTATGTGTTTTAGGAAAAGACAGCACAGCGTGCCCCGTCTGGCTGAAGTGCCAGATATGCAGCCCAGTACATTCCCCACTGGTTTTATGTACATGAGTCAAATCATTGACTCTTTTGGGTCATTGTTGGGGAGGGACCCCTGAGGACTATAAGCTTTATAGAATTAATTCTTTGCCAAATAAAGTCAGTGGGCCTGTTTATAAGATAAGGGCCTGGAATGAGGGTCCACTGAGTCCTGGACTCTCTATTTTGCCTGGGCTGTCTTAAGCCGGGTGTGATGAAGCCATGTTGGGATCCTGTCAACCTTGACTGCCGTGGGGGTGGTCCTTTCCAGGCAGGAGTAAGTCCTTGGGTGGCAAATTTCTTTACCAAAACAGAGTCACCAGGTTGGAAGGGATGAACCAGATACTGGCAGAACATCTCGTACGTGCTTCTGGTCTGCTTTCTGGGTAGATTGTAAAGCCTGAAAGAACTTGAGTAAACTGGTGAGATGAGTAGTTCAGGGTCTGGAAGAGTCACTAGAATCTGTAAAGGCCCAACTGGTTTTAGGGCAGCCTCCCAGGCTGCTTTGTCTGCAGCCTCATTCCCTCTTGCTTCTGGGGAGTCCCCTTGCCTTATATACATAGAGGTGGAAAGACTTAGTTACATCTGGTAGTGCCACCTGGCCCATCGTCCTTGCTCTGCTCATGTCTGTCTAACTGCCTACTATATTACCTCAAGGATCCTGGCTCTGAATTCTTTCAGGGAAAATGGGCGTTGGATTTCTTCTGCAACTGCTTCGTGCTGAGGAGGGACAGAAGTTTCTCTCAGAGCCAAGAGATCCTTGCTCTCTGTCAGAGGGACAATGAGGCCTGGGCATAGAAGGAGGTGGG